TTGTTAAAAAAAGTAAAATTTTGTAATAAAAATAAAAACATAAACCACGTAATGAGTAGAATAAAAACAAGGATTAGTTGGTGGCATTATGGGCAAAAACAGTTCATTTGATTTTTTCTTATGGTAAAAGAAGATAAGGATTAGTTAGTAGCATAATGGGCAGTATAAAACTCATAATTTGGTATTTATATTAGTACTATACTGTAATAAATAAAGGATAAAGTTGGAATTTTTGTCCTACTGTTATCTTTGGACAACTTCCATTATAGAAGTTATTAATATGTGACACTTACATCTAAAGTACAGATCTGTTGACATCTACCTTCAGTTACTTCTTATATTCAAGAGATTGCAAATTATCTCGTTTTAGTGAACAAGTCTTGCATTCGAGTTAAAACTCAAGATGGCGTCAAAAAACAAATAATCTATAGTAACCTTTTTATTATACTATAAAACTCAAGATTAAAATTGATTGAATTTGAACTCAAGCATGAATTCGGATGTTTTTGTTTGATGAGTTGAGCTCAACTCAAGTATAAATTCTATTATTTTCTAGATGAATCCAATTTGAGCTCGAAAAGTAAAGCTCAACAAAATTCTTGAACAAATCATGCTTGAGTCTGATTGTTTATGAGCTTTGCTCGGCTAGTTTTTGACAATAAACATTTGTTTAGTTAAAAAATTCGGCTTATAAACTTTTAAAAGTTTTTTAGTGCAACAGATTTATCTTACACTTTAAGGACTTGGAGCCAATTTGTAAACCCATCATCAAATCCTTGGGTTAGTAGGTTTCATATTCTGTAATTCTATAAAGAAGCACATAATAATGGCTGAATTTTTATTACAACAAGTAACAACTTTGACCACGTTTAGTCTTTCCATGGGAACCCCAATAGGACCACCATGACCAAATTATATGGTCGGAAAACAATTGTCTTATCTAGGGTTGGGTATTTTAAACTGAATCGATAGGTTATTCAAAAATTGAACCAAAAAAATGAATTTGGTTCGGTTTCAACAGTTTTTGATATTTATTTTTTTAGTTTTGATATTAACCGAGTATATTTTGGTTCGATTTTGATTGAACTTTTCAAAAATCAAAACCAAAAATAAGCTCTTTGAAAACTGAAATTAGGATAAATATGATAAAATATGATAAAATATGTGATAAAATATAATATATTATTAAAAAAATAATTGATTATTATTTATTTATCAAAAACCAAAATCAAACCGATTTTATTGGTAACCGAATCGATCGGTTTTTGATAATTTTGGTTTGATTTCAATTTTCAAAATTAAAGAAAAAAATTTTCAGTTATTTTAAAACCAATTTCAATTTTAACCAAAAACCGGTTTTACCCACCCCTAGTCTTATCACTTTGTCTTGTTTTCTCTCTTTGATTCAAAATGTCCAAAGTGGCCGCACTTCTTTTTATAAAAATATTTTTCTTTTGTATTTCAATTCATCTCCTTTGTTGCCTATGAGGCCTTCACTAAAGATGCAGATGTTGAGGCCTAACAACCAGGGGCAGAATCAGGTTGTATTATTGGTATGGTCTATTAACTTTTTGTATAATAAATTTTTTTACTGAGTAAGACTTACATATAAAAAATTTTAAAATTATAATTTTTTTTTTTTTGAAGATAAGATAGGATCTATGCCTAATCTTTTTTCAAAATGCATCCATCATTCTTAAAACTCCAGTGTGCGAGGAAGTTTCCTCTTCTTCTTTTTTTTTAATTTTTATATTATTCTTAAGTTATCAAATCTGCACTTGTACTAATTTGGCATTCATACGTAAAAAAAATTCATCTCCTTTGTCTTCTGTAAACTTAATAAAATTATACAATTTAATTCTTAAGAGAGTGATTACTTTTGTTGATGTTATAATAAGTTTTAATCTTACTTCTTGAGGAATAATTTCAGTAATTAGACAATTAATTAAAGTCTAACGAAGGGCTATGTTATGTTTTGTTTATATAGAATCATCGTTAAAAAAGATAAGAATTACACTGCTAGAAAAAGGCACAATTTTGGTCAAGAATTATTGACTGAAAAAGGCCAAATATTGACCCAAAAACAATTAATTCGGTTAAATATTTTGACTAAATTCTTGGACAGAATATGCTCTGTACGAAATATAATTTCGGAGAAAATTTTATCTTGACCAAAATAAAAATGATTTCGATTAAGGTGCTTGAACGAAATAAGGTTGAAAAAATCAATAAAAAACACTTATATTCAGTCAATATATTTGACCGAAATACTTAAATATTATTTTAATAACACATTTCGGTCAATTATAATAACCGAAATATTCATGAATTTGTGGTCTTCCAATCATCCTATTTCGGTCAAGCACCTTGACCGAAATAAAAATGGAGATTAACAAAAAAAATAATTATTTAACGAATTTTAATTTAGTTGATAAATATTATAATAAAATTTGGTGTTGAAAAAAATTAAATTTTAACATCATCAACATACAATTCTTATTTATTTAATTTATTAGCCTTTTATAATTTGAAATTATAATTATGATTATATTTCTAGAAATATAAAAAAATGAAAAGAACCCAAAAATGCTAGCATT